CTCTCTCTCTCTCTCTCTCTCTCTCTCTCTCTCTCTCTCTCTCTCTCTCTCTCTCTCTCTCTCTCTCTCTCTCTCTCTCTCCGTCTCTCCGTGAGCGAAGACGCTTCTGACAACCAAGAAAGTGGTGTAGCCAAGAAAGCGGAAAAATAAGAAAGTCACTCACATTACCGTGGTCATTGAGACAAAAAAGAAAGGGGTTGTATTTGTCCATGTTATAGCGGAAGATTCATTCACATTTTGCACATTTGCTGAGGAGTGGAGCAAGGGCCCAAGTAGGGGAAAGGAATAAAACTCAACCCAAAACATGGAAAGGTACATTGCTACTTTACTTTTACCTTTTTGCCAAGGCTTTGAGTCCCCCAACCGTGGTCCATAACTGAGCCTACTCGGCCTGGACCCGACCCCCTTGTGCAAGCAAAGTCGGTCTTGTTCACTCGAACATAACGCATATGCGTTGTAAACGAATACAATGCATGGTATGCATTGTATTCGTTTACAACACATATGCTTTATCTTCAGGGGAAGACGATAGCAATGGAGGAAGGGTTTTTCAAAAAAAAAAAAAAAAAAAGCTCGGAGGGTGATTGCATTCAGATTCATCCAGTGCAACCTAGAAATATGGGCAGATGCATTCAGAAAAGTGCAAAGTAGAATGAAGCCCAACTGTATACAAGCTATACAGCTGCATACCTGCCATACTGCGACGCCCAACGTGACTTCCTGATCGGAGTGGGGTATGGGCCTGGAAGTGCGAAAAGGGGTGTGCCAAGGATTTTTGGGAAAATGGGGGAGTCTTAAGGGTATGAATGCAATTAGGCGAATAAGGGGTGCGTGCGCAAGGGACTCAAGGCCCGATGAGGCCGGAGAACTGGCGGCGACGGTTTACGGGGAAGTCCCTCCGCGGTGGAGGCGGTCCCGAAAAGTTAGGCCGTCGGGGGCCGCCACGTGGCGCAGGCCGCCTCGTACTCGGATTGGGGCTTCAGAATTTCGGAGTTCTCTATTCCCCGCTACGTCGACAATTCACACAAAACGTACTGGGCCAATAGGGGGCTATGGCCGGCCACAGAACGACGCTGAATTGATGATACGGGAGAAGAAGGCGGAAAGGAGGGAAACTGGTGGTCATGACAACAAATCCCGGGTGGGTGAAGTAGTAGGTATGGTCGGGGAAAGGGAAATCAGAGCACCGAGGGTCGCTAGAGGTGGCGCAGTGAAATTCCCGCGGACATGGTCGATTCTCCGTGTGACAGGGGTATCGCAGCCTTATGAGTTCGTTTATCCAAGGGGTGAAATACTCCGGGTCGTAGGATGAGTCTGAGCTCCAAGATCGCGTCATGGTATCATTGTAGATGGGACAACTCGGGTCGGGTTATCATCACCGCACACGGGCACGTGCAGGACAGGCGAACTTAGTTGTGCCTCATCGTGCCCATACGGGCTGACAGTTCCGCCGCGAATCTTTTTGGGTGGGCGAATCGACGCATGGGAATGCGTGTAAGAGCGCGACTTGGATCGCGTTTACCCGTGTTCTCGCGCGGCATTCGCGGGACCCGACTTCGGATTGTCTAATTGCTTCGTAAGTTTCGATTATGCAGGATGCAACCATATCACAACTCCATCGTGAGACAAGCAGAAACGAGAACAAAATCGCTATCGGGGCCAAATTCTTATCCCATCTACGGCTGCATCAGGTGCAGGCAAAAATTCGACACAAACAAAAAGCAAGGACAGGGATTCTCCGCAAAAAGATAGACGAGCAGGCATAACATTCATACATCCATACATTCGACAATCATACACATAATGCAATCGAGACGGACATCGCAAGGATAGGTGTGAGCAAAAACCCAAGCCCAGATTCCAGAAAGCCAAAACGAAAATAAGAACGGGCAAATCACCCGGAGCCGCAATCAAAATGTATGTACACAGATGAAGAGGGGGAAGAGACAAAGAAACAGCAAATTCGCGTCCATCGACCTCAACTCTCTCCTCCTCTCTCTCTCCCTCTCCGATGCGGACAGTCCGTCGTCACGCACCAACCCACGAAGTTGTTACCCCGCTTAGTCTTCCCGCACCCGTCGGATTCGCCCGTGCCCACAGTCTGTCGTGGCCCACGTCAATCCCTCGCGTTCGGTACCAGCCCGTCGGGTCGCCCAACTCCTACTCTACTCACCTCTTACTTCGCTCGTGTGCCGACCCTTCCTGATCGCGCAGCCCCGAGCTTCCAACAATGGGTTAAGAGAGCTGACTAATCGCGCAACCGAAATTTATAGTGTGCATGCATGCGCGAAGAACACGGAATTATCAGGACTTAGAGTGGGGTTAGAGAGGGAGCGCCTGCGTTCTGCATGATCGACCGCGACGTGGGGGACGTAACCCTTCTCCACGCATCGATCCGAGCATGCAAGCCGCGACTTACAAAAATTTCAGCAAAAGAAAGAGAGGGAGGGCGGGAGAGACGAAGTGCAAGAAGAAAGATACAGTTACAATGGCGCCCGCCCAAAATTACAGTAACACACACGATTAAGGGCGCCTACTAATCAGAGTACCGTTGCAGCCGCATGAAGAAGCGCGTAGACCAAAGGCGCCGCGTGGCAGGAAAAATCCTAATTACTGAATTCCTAAATTCCTATCTAAGACAGAAAGGAAAAAAGCACAAATTCCAGAAGGAAAGTCCGAAATTCCGAGAGTCATCGGGGCTTGACAAAATTCAAAAAGGATCCAAAAGAAAATTTAAAAAGAACGAAGCAACTTCCCGCGCGATGTCCGCGCCCAAAAGATTGAAACTGAACCGAAAGAAACAACGTCAACATTTATTAATCGCGCGCGCGTGCGGCGACGCGCCAGACATCCATCCGACCAATCAACCAACCGGCCTTCCCAAGACACACCCAGCTCCGTGCCCAGCCATTCGAAAAAGAAGTGACGAAAAGGATGAAAAAGCGAGGACACTGATGCAATTCCCTACTGATCCCGATCTCCCGTAATTGGCCCAATCTTCCCAGCTTAGGACCCCTCGTTGCAACCGCACAGGAAATCGTGCGTTACAGAAAGTGGTTCGTCACATATGTGACGCCCAAAGGGTTCCAATATTAGCAAGCTTCTGCTTGCTTGTTGACACGTGTCGATTTCTCTAATCGATCGACACGCGGAGCATCTCTGTCTATGCCACTTACTGTTCAATTGCGTGTGGACGTCATCCACGTGACAACATTGCTCTTCTACTAGTTCCTCAGATTGGGTTCTCGACGATCCAAGGACGGGATCCTTCTCGTGCCGTCGCCGCGACACGCGTCCATTACCGCTGCATCAGTAATTAACCGGAAGGGGAAAGGGAAGGCGATACGCATATGAGGGAGGGCGAGGCGGCTCCATCGTAAGCTCAGGTATGAAGCGCCCGATCGCGGTAAGGTCGTAGGGAAGATCTTGAAAACGGACAACGCGATGGAAATGGGGGAACCGCTGGCCGGTGCGGGGAAGGGAAGCAAGGTAGTCTGGGTAAAGGGAGACGAGGGTTCGAAGGACGTCTGTGCGGAACCGATCATGGTCCTCGCACGCGGGAAAGGTCCCCGTAACGATGCAGTAAACCTCTATATGGTTACGGCCTCGCCACGCGGCGCTAAGGAGTAGAACGTGGAGGGGGTAATCGGGGAGCGCACCGAACGGAAGGGTGGGGGTGGACAGTCAGTTATAGGCGAGCGGAGTAGAAATGTCGGAAGGTGGCGATGGGGAAGGGATTACGGGGGAAGACGACGCGATGGAAATACTGATTGAAAGAGAGATAGTTAAGGGGACGGTGGTATATGGATCGGGGACGAAGGGCGAAGCTCCTCATTGACACGTTGACGAATTGGGGGACGGGCGGAGGCGGAGGGTGACGGGGATCAGGATCGGGGTCGGCGCCTTGTCGTCACGACGTTCGAGGTCATGGCAGCAAGGTTCCCATGTTCCGGCTTGGGCAGCTCGAGATCCTTGGAAGAATCGTTCAATGGGGGGTCAATCGCCGACCTCTTTCCCTCCGCGACCTCTTTCTTGCGCTGTGCGGCAGCCTCAGGGCTCCCCTCTCGTCGATCCGGTCCTGGCACCCACTCGAGCTCGTCGTCGCGCGTTGGCTCCTGGTCGTCTCCGCTTTCCACCTCTTCGTCGTCGTCTTCGTACTCCTCTTCACTTGGCTCGCCCTCGTTGTGCTCACTATAGGCTTCCTCCTCTTCTTCCGAAGTCTCCTCCCCTGCTTCTTCCTCTTCTTCTTCTTCAGCTTCCGCCGACTCTTCTGCTGCTTCGCGTTCTTCTTCCTCGTCCTCGGCCAACCGGGCCGCTGCTTCCCCGACTTCTCTCCTCAATTCTCCTTCCGATTCTTCTTCTGCCTCCTCTTCTGCTCTAGAATAGCGGAAATCGCTTCCGGTTGCTAGTCCGTGATGAGAATGAACTGCTTCGAGGGGTCCGACCGAATCAAAATAGGGGTCATCGCCAGAGCGTCCTTAAGGGTTGCAAAGGCCTGCTGGCACTCCAAGTCCCAGCTGAGAGGCTGGTCCTTCCGTAACAGATTCGTTAGTGGTCGTGCAATCGCGACAAAACCCTTGATGAAGCGCCGGTAGTACGACGCCAGCCCCAAGAAGGCTCGAACCTGCGTTAGTGATGTGGGAACCGGGGCTTCTTTCACCGCCACAACTTTTCTTGAGTCCGGCCGCAATCCTCCACGTGTCGCGACGTAGCCCAAGAACGAAATTTCCGGGAGGAAAAATTCGCTTTTCTCGAGCGCAATGTTGAACCCAGCGTCTCTCAACGCGCCCAATGTCCATTCGATATGTTGCGCGTGTCCGTGATAGGTTTCCGAATAGACCAGGATATCGCCCATGTACACGATTACGAAGAAGTTAATCATCCCTTGTGTCAGCTGTGTCTTGTTGACGAAATTCTGGAACGTCATGTTCATCGCTCGCTGAAACATGGCAGGTGCATTGCAAATTCCCATCGGACACCGAACCCACTGCCACGTGCCCTCAAACAACACAAAGGCCGTTTTCGGCCGATCTTCCTCCTTAACCAGAATGTGATGGAAACCATGCCGAATATCAAACTTGCTAAAATAATTAGCACATCCAATCGCATCCAGCAAATCATCAATCCGGGGGAGGGGATACACATCTTTGACCGTGATCTCATTCAGCTTGCGATAATCAATGCAAATGCGAATCGCTCCATTTTTCTTCGGCACTAACACCACGGGAAATGACCAAGGTCCGGTAGCGGGTTCAATCCAGCTGCTGGCTTCGAACTCTCGAATTCGTTCGAGAGCTTTTTTGCGTTCAATCAAGGAATATCGATAAGGTTTGCAATGAATCGGGGAGTCATTTCCTGTCTGAATTTCAGGTTGGATTACTAACGACAAACCAATGTCAGTGTCTAATACACTAATCGCTCCTTGATATTCCGTTAGAATGTCCGCAATTACCCGGTGGATTTCATCCGGCACGTACTGTGGAACTTGTAGTTCAAAAAGTTGGTCCCAGATCTGAACGTCAATCTGTTTCGTGCTCGTCTATTTTGCCAAGTCGGGTGGAGGCGCCGAGATGAATGAATGGTCCGATCGCAAGGAGAACACCGTGGCCATCATCTGGGCATCTTCTTCCCTGATTGCCACGTGGCCTTCTGGGGTAATTTCGTCACAAACATCCTGCCATAGCACGTTCTTAGTTGCGATCTTTATCCCCAGTCCGTCTGTTTCTGCTTCCAAATGCCCAGGGGGTTCCAGAGAGCTTGCTTCCGCCCCCAAGCGTAACAATCTCACTTCTTTAGCCGATGTTAATAAGGACTTGGGTAGATCCGTAATGTCACAGTAATGCTTCTTGTCGCTATACCGGGCGAGGAGAGGGGTGGTTCCTTCGTACAGAGTTTGAGGGGGTTCCAAAGAATCGACCATCCTCGAGATCTGTACGAGGGGCTCACCCAAGATCATTGTCTTGGTTCTTTGAATTTTCCGGCTGGTCAGTTTCATCGTTCTCGCTATCGTTTTGGGCGGCGGGTAGTAAACGCGCTGTTGTGCTAATTTCAATATCTATGGATCATCTTCGTCACTGCTTTCTGCATCATCTGTTGATGACTTTCCCTCTACGGATTCATCCCAGGAGATCATGCGGAGAGTCCCTGCCATCATCGGCGGAACCCGCGGAACCGCCATAATAGTAGTGCGAAGGGTCAATCGCATGGGCACAGCGTAGGGTTTTCCTCCTGTATTTCGGAGGACGATCGATCGTCGTTCGAAGTTCAGGTTTGCTCGTAACGCCACAAGAGCGGGAAGTCCGAAAAGAACGTCGTATGTATTAACATCTAGTACTACGACATCCCCAAGCGCGTGTACTTTTCCTAATTGGAAGGCGGCATTGGTCATTCTCCCCACAGTTTTGATATTTTCCTCATCTGCCGAAACGAGCTGATCTTTCTCAGTGAGCATGATCAGATCATTTTTCCTACCTACCCTTTCGACCACTCTTAGTGAAATAGCCAACACAACTTCTCCCGAATCTATAATTGCGCTGTAGGGAATTCCCCAAATTTTAATATTACATTCTGCAGATTTCCACGGAATTGGTTTAATCCGTAAGAAATGACCGTCTTTCTGAATTAAACCTACCTGTATCAGATCCGGGCTACCTGTTGGGTTTTCTTCTGGCGCAGGGCCTTTGGCTTTTGCATTTGGTGTTCGGGCGAGGGCGAATCGCTTTCGGTTTGCTTTGCAATGCTGTAGCATTCGCTCGTTGGCTTGCTCGGAGATCGAGAGTAGATGACCGATCGGAAGGGGAATCCGATGGTCCAAGACTCCGATGATGTTTAATACATCGATCTCTTCTGTGACGAAGGTGGGTCCTCCCGACTCCATTTCTCCTAGAGACGGTCGCCATTCCGCCACCTCTTTCGGTTCTGGCGCTGGTCTGATTGTTCAGATCATTTCAAGCCCAGGATATCCCAGCGATACGTACTGATCTAGCGGGATTAGCTCGGCGGCCTCTTCCGAGGTGGCCAGGGCACTTCCCCCACCCTCTACTTCTTCCATCAAGGCTCCGACTCGTCCATGTCCGTTAGTGATGGGAGCCACAGCCATAGGCGCGACCCCGATTCGCTGTTGTGGGGGTCGGTGGGGGCAATCACGGGCTAGATGTCCTGGCTGATGACAGGCATAACAGACATTCAGATTGTTCGTAGCTCCCCCGAGAGCCGGGGCCGGGGCTAATCCTTGCTGCATCGGAGGGCCACGCGCCGCAATGGGGCGCATATTCCTCATTATGGCCTCCAGCCGAGCATTGTGCTCTTGCTGCTCTTTCTTGCTTTCTTAGATTAAACTAATCAACGTTTTGGTTAGTTCAAAAATGGCGGCTGATTTGATCGATCGTACGGGAGCCTCAATCGGCGGAGGGGGTAATGCCCTGACGGGCAGGGGTATCATAGGAGCATAGATGCTCGGAGTCTCGCTTAGGATTACTCGTTTGGGGCCTATCTGTTCCATATAGGTGACAGGTCCTGATACAAATCCCATGTTTTCAAATTTGTTCTGCAAGGCAGTCAGCTCCGCTCTCGCTCGTGCGAGCTCGATCGAATCTCCGTCTCTAGGGTAGTCTTCTCCTTCCAGGAAGTTCACCGCGAACTTCCTTTCCATTTCTTCTGCAGCAACCATAATTTGTTGTACCGTATGAGTGATGGGGGAAAATTGCTTTCGCAACTTAGCCCTTATTGTTCGGCTGCGAAGTCCGTCAATGAACAAATCTCTCCCTCCTTGCTCACCTCGCTCAATTTTTACGAACATCCTGTAGAACCGGTTTCGATATTCTGCAACGGATTCGAGGGGTTTTTGCACTCGGTCCTTGATCATGTATAGTGCTTGCTCAGGGTGAACATAATCAAACCGGTTCATAAAATCCCGTTCGAAGGTCGGGAGATCCACCCATACGTACGTACAATACCAATGATGACCGTTTCCTTCCATTCGAGCCAGAATGTTGATCTGTGCTTCGTGATCATCGTACTGCTGTGCTCTAAGCATGGCCAACCATGCTCTTGCGAGATGGTGCGTTGGATCAAATAGATAGAGATCTGGTGGCGTCATGGGAGCTCGTGCACGTGGGGCAGGTTGATTTGGTGGATTAGCATTTTGTTGCGGAACCGGGTTCTGCACATTGGCAGCCATATTGGCTGCTCGTCGGTTAGCCGATCTACTTCGGGTGACGATAGGGTCGCGTCTATGCACGTTCCGAGGGCGAGGCCGCCCACGGTTAGCCAGGTTGCCTAATTAACGTGCTATCAATCCTAAGACCCTAACCACGTGTCGGGCTCCGATACCAACCTCACGCCCAGCGCGACTTCCTGATCGGAGTGGGGTATGGGCCTGGAAGTGCGAAAAGGGGTGTGCCAAGGATTTTTGGGAAAGTGGGGGAGTCTTAAGGGTATGAATGCAATTAGGCGAATAAGGGTTGCGTGCGCAAGGGACTCAAGGCCCGATGGGGCCGGAGCACTGGGGGCGACGGTTTACGGGGAAGTCCCTCCGCGGTGGAGGCGGTGCCGAAAAGTTAGGCCGTCGGGGGCCGCCACGTGGCGCAGGCCGCCGCGTACTTGGATTGGGCCTTCGGAATTCCGGAGTTCTCTGTTCCCTGCTACATCGACAATTCACACAAAACGTACTGGGCCAATAGGGGGCTATGGTCGGCCACAGAACGACGCTGAGTTGATGATACGGGAGAAGAAGGCGGAAAGGAGGGAAACTGGTGGTCATGACAACAAATCCCGGGTGGGTGAAGTAGTAGGTGTGGTCGGGGGAAGGGAAATCAGAGCATCGAGGGTCACTAGAGGTGGCGCAGTGGAATTCCCGCGGACATAGTCGATTCTCCGTGTGACAGGGGTATCGCAGCCTTATGAGTTCGTTTATCCAAGGGGTGAAATAATCCAGGTCGTAGGATGAGTCTGAGTTCCAAGATCGCGTCATGGTATCATCGTAGATGGGACAACTCGGGTCGGGTTATCATCACCGTGCACGGGCACGTGCAGGACAGGCGAACTTAGTTGTGCCTCATCGTGCCCGTACGGGATGACGGTTCCGCCGCGAATCTTTTTGGGTGGGCGAATCGACGCACGGGAATGCGTGTAAGAGCGCGACTCGGATCGCATTTACCCGTGTTCTCGCGCGACGTTCGCGGGGCCCGACTTCAGATTGTCTAATTGCTTCGTAAGTTTCGATTATGCAGGATGCAACCATATCACAACTCCATCGTGAGACAAGCAAAAACGAGAACAAAATCGCTATCGGAGCCAGATTCTTATCCCATCTACGGTTGCATCAGGTGCAGACAAAGATTCGACACAAACAAAAAGCAAGGACAGGGATTCTCCGCAAAAAGATAGACGAGCAGGCATAACATTCATACATCCATACACTCGACAATCATACACATAATGCAATCGGGACAGACATCGCAAGGACAGGTGTGAGCAAAAACCCAACCCAGATTCCAGAAAGCCAAAACGAAAATAAGAACGGGCAAATCGCCCGGAGCCGCAATCAAAATGTATGTACACAGATGAAGAGGGGGAAGAGACAAAGAAACAGCAAATCCGCATCCATCGACCTCAACTCTCTCCTCTTCTCTCTCTCTCTCTCCGATGCGGACAGTCTGTCGTCACGCACCAACCCACGAAGTTGTTACCCCGCTTAGTCCTCCCGCACCCGTCGGATTCACCCGTGCCCACAGTCCGTCGTGGCCCACGTCAATCCCGCGGGTTCGGCACCAGCCCGTCGGTTCGCCCAACTCCTACTCTACTCACCTCTTACTTCGCTCGTGTGCCGACCCTTCCTGATTGCGCAGCCCCGAGCTTCCAACAACGGGTTAAGAGAGCTGACTAATCGCGCAGCCAAAATTTATATCGTGCATGCATGCGCGAAGAACACGGAATTATCAGGACTTAGAGTGGGGATTAGAGAGGGAGCGCCTGCGTTCTACATGATCGGCCGCGGCGTGGGGGACGTTGTCGGTGCGAATACCCTTGCA